TTTACTTGGTGAGTAATTTTGTTTGTCGCCCTGGTTTTACATGTTTAGTTACTACTTTCTAAGAAGGGATATGAAAAAAGAAAATCGGTTCGACTAGTTGAGTACCCGACAGCATCTCGGCAAGTATCATGATTTGATAGCATCTTAGATGCCTGTGGCATGTCTTGAACCTAGTTTGAGTAGCCACTATTAGCTTTCTAAGAAAGGATATGAAAAAAGAAAATCGGTTCGACTCGTCGAGTACTCGACAGCATCTCTGCAAGTATCATGATTTGATAGCATCTTAGATGCCTGTGGCATGCCTTGAACCTAGTTTGAGTAGCCACTACTAGCTTTCTATGATGCCTGTGGCATGCCAGGACCTTGGACTCGGGTAGCCTCCGCTAAACCAACGAGTTCCAGGAAGCATGTGCATTAATTTTCGACACTTTGATCGTAGTAATTCTTCTAAGCAGAGTTCAAATCATTTTTTTTTTCACTGCAAATTTTCAGATTGATGTCATTGCAAGCCTTCTAAGTGGGAGGCTTGTCCGAGAACGAATTGGTCCCGCGATGCTGAGTGCGGTCCAAAGTCAGGTAAGAATTGCATCACAAGTCCATGTTACTTTCACCAAATAAAAATTTGCTAATGATTTTCAGTTTGTCTCAACAGATGGGAGCTGCTGAAACAACTTTTGAGGATGTCCAGAACATATTTTACATTGGTGGTTCCAAAGGATTGACCGGAGATTTGGTCGAAAAAGTCCCAAAGATCAAAATCACTAACAAGAACAACGGCGATGCTTCCGGGGACAAAGTTTCCTGTTCTGTTTTCCTTCAGGTACAACACTACTACACTAGTGAATTTTTTTCAGTAAAAGTAGTTGCATAAGAAGCTTTTCGGATCAAATCTCTTAACAGGACTTTCAGCTCGGAGAAACAGTTAGGAGCTTGCCGCAGTGTCATCACATGTTCCACTTGCCTTGCATAGATAAGTGGCTCATTAGTCATGGTTCTTGTCCATTGTGCAGAAGGGATCTGTAATCTTTTTTTTTTCTCTGTAAATTATACAATTGGAATACTTCTTCCAAGTTTATTTATACAGTCGTTTCTCACCGGAGCATGTGTATTCGAGTAGCCGAGTTACCCTATCTTGATATAAACTCTTGTTATGAACAGATTTAGTCTAGCTAAGAATCTTTGCAAGAATCTTCTGGTGTTCTTTATCGGTTAATCAGCTGCCGTCGGTGTAAGAACGATTTTATTATCGGATCCGACTTTGTTCGGATATCAATCATGCAAAGGTTAGATGAAATATTAAGTATGAAGATATTTGAGGGAGCTAATTTCTGGGTCTCATTTATGAAATTGCAGTGTGTTGCAAGGCCATGGAACAAAGGAAAAGCATTAAACTCATCAACAGTCGGTCAACAACCACATTAAAAAAAATCTAGGTGCACAATAAAATTGGAATTTAGTCAATTGGTTCATGCGATGATAACATTGAATAAGTTAAAGATTTAGATGAGATAATGTTAACAGTCATAGGAGTGAGATATGTACGGAAATGCCTTCACCAACTTCAGCTTTATGCATTTACTTTGAGCTTTGTATGCATCAGTCCCACATCGTCATGGAAGAAAAACTGCACTCTCCACGCCTGGGTCTGCCAATAAATGAAAGGTCCGAATCTGTGCAAACAATATCTACCATAAATTAGAGGATCCGATTTACCACGTCATCCGTGATTCATATTAATAATATTTTTTTTATCTAATTTTTTTCAAGGTTAATCTTCATCTCTTTACTCTGTATAAATAAAGAGTAAATAATTATTTAAAATTGATGGATGTGATTCGTTGAGACCATAGATGGCGTGGTGATTTAGGACCATGAAATAATTTATCCTTTGAACCGGTAACTAACGCTTTAGATCACTAAACAAACTAACCAATGAATTTATTTAGTAATAGGGTTAATTACATGATTGATTAATTATATTTGTGTTTTGTTTATTTTTTTCACCGATTTCAGAAAATATAATATATGATTACTTTCGTTTTTATTTAGTTAAGATGTGGTCACCAGAGTTTAGTGTCGTCTACTAAATGATGTGGTATTTGTTATAATCACACATTTGATCCTTATTATTTACATATTTTCTCAATTTAGTTATACTTTCAATAAATTAAAATAAATTTAATCCTCAATTCGAATGGTACCATGTGTCATTGGTGGTACGTGTCACCATTCGTTTAGAGGACTAACTTTATTTTAATTTATTCGGTTGGTGAAAAATAAATATATTTAATTTTTTAAGGGAATATAACATTACGACTGTCACAAAATTTTATACTCATATGAAAATTCACTTTTATATTTAATCGTATTTTTTAAGTGTTGGAATCTCTTTTTTATTTCAGAATACTCATTTATAATAAACAATTCTTTTATCGTAAAAAAACTCCATTAGATCTCCTGTATTATTCTTATACATTAATTTTTTCTCATCTTATATAACAATCATCTGCATGCCCGAATCATCGCAATTAATTTTCTTTAAATAAGCAGATAATTCTTCTATATATTGCTTACATTCTAAATGTAAGTAATTAATCAACTTTTGTGAACCTTTGTGGCGGTCCGTTAAGGGAAATCAAGATCGGATTCGATTCTCATTAAGACATCATAATCTGAGCACGGGCTTTTACAGTTTTAAACCATCATTGGCGTTATATTCGATAGGCGACATTAATCCAAACAAGGGCTAAATTCCACGGATTGGCTTTGGAAAATTAATTCATCAGCGAGAAGATCAAGCTACAAGGGTTAGACCTTATAGATTGTAACCGGCAAGTATCCGAAGTAAAACTTATTTCAGTGATCTGGACTGATTGAGGCAAAATGAAGCTGGAGGATATCTCTCTTCATAATTAATTCTTCTACAATTTACTTTTCTTATTTTTATTGCTTTCTTTATTTTATTTTAATTTTATTTAGTTTACTTGATTATTTTAAACCCTTTTTTAATTATTTGTTTTACAACTTTCTTGATGGATTATATTCCCTCTATCCTATTTAAATTGTTTTTGTATTGATTTTTTTGTCACAATCTTTTAACTTTGACTTATTATTGTTTAAAGTTTTTTATTGATAAAAATATAAAAATATATAGGTTTAGTCACCCAACTTTTAAAACTTACAATACAATCATTAAACTTTTAGTTCGTTTTCAAAAAGGTCCATTTTCTTCTTCTTGTTGTTGAAAAAGGTTTCATGGAATAGAAGTGCCTTGAGAATCGAAATACATAAATAGGAAAACAGGAAAAGTTAAACATTCACATCTATGGTATTTAAAAAGGGTTAAAAAAATGAGGACATGGTTACAGTAACCAGTTATTTAAACATGAAGATACTGTCATGAGAAGCCTGTGATTAGAGGAGCATATTTCCAGTTCTTTAAACATGAAACTACTCTGACCAGGTCTCTCATTTATGCTTGAGCAAATTTGTTTAAAGCTTCATTGCATACCTTTAACACTAGCAGTGCCGTTAGCATAACAAGCCAAGAAAGTCCATAACCCTACAAGGGTAATAAATTGAAAGATAAGGAGATGAAAGTATGAACTAGAACAATAAAGAAAAATTCCCATAAAAATAGATAAGGATTGGTAGGCAAAAGCAAAGTGTAGAAAGATGAACTTCGAAAATTATACCAAAATGTTTTTGCCGTGATGAGCTATATCAAGGTGGTAGACAATCCCATATTGGTAAACAAAGAAGCGAAATGCAAGGATAATGGTAAGCAGTCTTCCCCTAATATTTGTGAATTTGAGGTGTTATTGTTCTTCTACCCACCAGATTCCCAACTTTTATTTGGCTGGATACCAATACCACCGCAGTTTCCCACCCACCTCTTCCTATCTGTCCAATCATCCACTGTTTTTTGCCAGTCAAAACCAGATGGGTTGAACACAAAAGGGGCAAACAACCACGACCCAGCAAGGAACCACATGAAGACTGTTATGAACATATAAAGTCTTGAACTGCGATAGGAATCCCCATAAACTTCATAGAGGATCAAGAGAATGAGAAGCTTCAACCCTTTTACAAAATGATTTCTAGAGTACAACCTGTAATTATCGTGAACATTGCATGAAAAACAACAAAGCCACGACCAGTAGCTCGATATGTTGAACCTCCGTGCAAGATAGTTCTTCCAAAATAATGTGCTTTTGTACCAAGCTGGAAAGTAAAGAATACAGAGGCAAGTTGTAGCTGCATGATGGCAGTCACCCAGAGCAGTACGAAACCCTTTTTCCAGGCCAATTTCCATAACCATGGGCAGCACCAACAACAGACCCAGCTGGAAGACGGACTGTGCTGCCAAAGCTTCTTCAAGGGCCTTGCTAAGAAGAAGCCAAGTCACAAAAAACTAACGGGAGGTAACGACAGAGACCTTATTGAAAACAAACTAAAAATTCGATGATTGTATTGCAAGTTTCAAAAGTTGGATGACCAAAATGAAAGTGCCTTAAAAGTTTGAGGACTATTTATATACTTTACTCAATATATATATTTTAGAAACCTAGTTTTGAAATATACATATTTAATAAAATTTATTTCTTTTAAAATATTTAAAATAATTATAGTTAAAATTTAAATTATTTGACTTTTATAAGACGAAGGTAATATTTTTTATGACATTGCAGCCGTTGGTTTCGTCATCGTCATTTATATACGTTGGTGGTGGATTGGGTTGAAGTTTATTGGAGGAAGGTGACCGGGTTGAAAAGTTCAGACAAACAAGATTTTATAAGATGTGCAAATTATATGAAAATTTAAAATTTTTCCGGATACGACTGTTCCATCCCACACCGCATCGATAGAGATGATACCAAAGAGAATATATATATATATATATATATATATATAGATTTTTATTCAGTGCCATAAATACTGGCATTACAACTTGATATATATATATATATATATATATATATATATATATAGATTTTTATTCAGTGCCATAAATACTGGCATTACAACTTGGTACGAGCCCTTTCGACAATGGAGCTCAAGAAAATAAATAATCCTAGAGTAGAGACACAGTACAACAAAAGGTATTAGCAAGCATGACCACTAAGACACACGATCCAATGATCAGGAAGAACAATTGTGTAAGCAAACCTTAAAATACAAAGAACTTTTAAAACCTGGATCTAGGACTTGCAAAATGCAGAGAGTGTATCGTCGAGGGCCTTTCTATCATACTCGCCGGTGAAAACACAATTTCCGAGGGGACCTTTCAGAAGGATAAGCCTAAGTAGTCCATCAGCTACCTTCTTATCGACCTACCATAACATAATGAAACGTAACCATCAACCGTAACATAATGATGCGTAACCGCAATAGCTAGAGAAAGCAATTTGAGATATACGGTGTGAGTAAAACTTGGTTCACTTACCGCCATGACCGACTTGAACATTTCCACAGTCATGGTTTCAGGAGGAGCAGTAGGTAACTTAGCCCGCAGTAAAATGTCATTAACCCGTTTAACGATTGAACTGTCAATCCACCCGAGTCGATGTGACATGTCAACAGCCATAACCTGAGTTGATCACAGATTTCGGTTTAGTATAGATGTAGAAGACGATCAAATGAAATGCAACAACAATCACAATACCGTGCCAGCTGCAACAGCTTCTCCATGAAGCCACTCTCCATAACCAAATCCAGTTTCTATTGCCTGGAAAGAAACATGAATACATCAGTGAAAAAAATACAATCCGGAACAACAGAACCCTTTAAGATCGAGTACAAATTCTAACACAAGGAAACACAAAATAACTTCAGCGCCAAGCAAAACCAAAAAGAATGACTGAACAGTGCTAAAACATGAAATCTCAAGTTGCGAGTAACTTGAAATTTATTCAATTTTAGAACCATTTTACAAATTCCTTCATGGGATTTCAAACCACAGTAGCGAAACAAAAACTCCAAATACAATCAAGGATGCATTATAAATTCAGCAAGTTATTATACTAAGAAGCCAAAAAAAAGGAACATACAAATGCACCAAGCATGAAAATAATCCATTCCCTTTGCATGCCAAAATGAAATATAACATATAGATCACCTATAAAACTTACATGACCAAACGTATGTCCCAAGTTCAGTGTAGCCCTCAATCCACTTTCTTTCTCGTCTAATGACACAACCTCAGCCTTGTTTTCGCATGATCGTTTTATAGCATAAGCCAGTGCATCAGGATCCCTGTGATGATAAACAGTGGATCACGTACAGCTAGTAGAAATATTCCTTGCAATAACGACAAAAGCACTGGAGTACAATATCATTGGTTGAACTAGGCAAGGGCAAGTAAACACATTTATAAAGCGCACGGGTAAGAAATTTTGATTACTCCAAAGAAAAATACAAGGTATATTCCCAAATGCTAACAATGACAAATCGACAACCACCAATTTGAATTTCAATTCTTACCATAAGTTCTCTCAATTTCATATTTCAAAAGAGGTTTCAGCACATTCAAATGTTTAATTACAGTTTATTCAATGAATTTTACATACCTCGCCATCAGTTTTCCCATATTCTTTTCCTGCCACTCAAAAAACTCAGCATCTCTGATGAGCCCATATTTTATAACCTCCGCCAGACCCGAAGCCAGTTCCCTGTCTGGCAATGTGTCCAATGTGTCCGTGTCTACAAGCACACATTGAGGTTGGTAGAAAGCACCAATCAAGTTTTTACCAAGAGGATGGTTTATGCCAGTTTTACCCCCGACCGAAGAATCCACCTGATTATCATTAACAAATTCGAAAATATGAAATGTTAGCACACAATGTGATGATCAATACATAAACGAACCACGAGTGAGAAAATACCTGTGCCATAACAGTAGTAGGAATCTGGATAAAGTTAACACCACGAAGGAAAGCTGCAGCAGCGAAACCACACATATCCCCAATCACACCGCCTCCAAGAGCAACAAATGTACATCTCCTGTCCAATCGGGATTCGATGGCCTTGTCAAAAACTTTCATGAGAGTTTCCTATAAGCATAACCATTACTATCAATTCCTCGAGTTTGAACAGCAAACAATGCCCCAAAATCAAAATGTTCATTAAATAGAACAAAAACAGAAAAGGGAAAATGGAAAACCCACCATGTTTTTATGCTTCTCTCCATCAGGTAAAATCACATTTTCAACAGAAACATTCGGGTTTCCTCTTGTTAATGCATCAACGACTTTATCCAAATACAAAGGAGCAATCGTAGTGTTAGTTACCACAAGAACCTTCTTCCCGTGAACATGCCTATTAAAACGATAACCCATTAACACAAAATACGACGAACAAATTAAGAATAACTCTTTCCCAGAAAAAAATAGCTACAAATTATTAAACAAAACGAATAAATTGAACTCACTTTTGAAGAAGCTCATGCTGATCAAGCAACCCGGACCCGATGTAGATCGGGTAGCTACGATCACCCAAATCCACCTCAACAATCGCGGGGCCTGCGGAGCTCCTTTCACCAACAGACTGATCCATCACCTGAGTCGCATTGGCGCAGATCCTGCGACCGAGTTGACTGAGTCTGGAGTGAGAAAGTCGGCCCAGAATCAGCTCACCGGTACCGGAACTGCGGAGGGTGACGGTGAGGGGTTTATTAAACTTGGGGTTGAGGTCGGATGATAATTTGGTGTTGGGGTTGGAAGAGAGGGAAAGAGAGAAGGCGTTTGTGGTGCACGCCATGGATGAGACGAGATTGGTTTATTGTGGTTTGGTAGGGGAAGGATTAGGAAGCTAAAACATTTGTTTGAAGAAGAAACGAGGAGTGGGTAGGTGAGACCCCGAAGCTGTTGGTGGACCAAACGATTGTGTATAAATGAACGGGCACCATTTCCTAATTTTTTATTTTTTTGAGGGTTGGTGGCATAATTATGTTGAATATGGAATTTTTTCCTTACTATTTATATGTAAAAAGTAGTAGCTAAGAATTAACAAATTAAAAGATTTATATCTCAATTCCAATAAAATGGTGACCAAAAGTTCACTTTTTTAATTTGGCGAGTAAAAGTATAGAAATATAAAAAGTAAGTGATCATTTTGATAATTTACCCTTAAATTTAATTAAAAAATTTATTTAATTAAAGGCTGTTGTATTTTTAATATTCTAACTTAGATATTTTTTTATGTTTTTTCATTAACAATTCAATTTTATACATTTATTTTTAAATAAATTAATTTCAAAATATATTTTTTTGGGTTACAAAGAAAGGAAACTGCTTGGTATTTCAAAATATTTTAATGCATGGATTATATAGCAATCAAACATTAATTATTAACACATGTTTTTGCTGCAACTCAATAGCAATAAAAACTTATTAAAATAATATATTAACATTAATAAATAAACTTGGACAATAAAAATGAGAGTAAAATGGTATCTCAAATGACACAAAAGTGTTGGGTGGAACTCAAATGTCCAAGTCTAGACTACAGTTTGGGCTTTGTCCCTGATGGATTGTCTAAGAAAGGTTATAGGGGTGGCAATAGGCATGAACGGTTTTGCATTACCTAATCCGTTCTCAACACTTGGGGTTATGATTTTGGGAATCCTTATTATATGTTTCGGGAATTTTTTATCATCATACTCATCCCTTACGGATCCATGCGAGTTTCGATTAATCATCATCCTAAACAATAAACAAATATTTTTGAAATTAATACAACATCTAAAACTTGTAAGATATATCAGATTGTCTCAAATTGGTCTCTATCTATAATATGAAAGCTTCAAACGTCAATATTCATCTAACACCCAATGTATATGTACAATCTCAATCATTTTCAATCTTAACAAATCAATGTATATTGAATGAGAAAAGATTTAAACTTCAATTTTAGTTCATTTGAGATGTAACAATGTCAACACTTAATCTCACAATCTTATCATATATAATTTTATTAAAATATATATTAAGGGTATACAGGTAAATGATTATAAATATATTTTTTAAATTTTATAAAATATCACGAATTTTTTCGAGGATCCACACGGGTACGGTTCGATTATTCCCACAGTTCGAATATAGCAATCCCCATCCCCATCTTAGCTTTGAGGATAAAATTACCCTCTTCTAAATTGGATCGGTTTATGATATGATTAACCTTTAATTTTATGATTCATAAGTAGAGTTTATAATTATCATTTCAACAATGAAAACGAAATAATTAATAAATTTAAATAAACAAGTTCAAATGATTGTTTTTTTTATAACTTTTTAAAGACTTGAATCCTTAATTTTCAGTGTATGAGGAAGTTACACTGTGCCGATTTTATTATTGTCTAAATAATAAATTTGGTAAAAAATTACCTAAAATATTATTATTTTTACCTAAAACATCATGCGTTTTAATATTTTCGGTCATTTTTTAGCGTCTAATAATATTTTCGGTCATTTTTTAATGCCTAATAATGTTTCCAGTAATTTGTTAACACCTAATAATATTTTTGGTTATTTTTTAACGCCTAATAATATTTCTGATTATTTTTATTACCTATTTTATTATTTAAATAATAACAAAACTAATAACGTTTTTTTAGTCGCATCCTAAAACTGCGGCACGAGCGTCCCGTGGACCTGTTGGCTTTGAAGTTGCTTAACAAAGAACATATTCCTCGCATCCCGTGGACCTGTTGGCTTTGAAGTTGCTTAACAAAGAACATATTCCTCGCAACATTATGAAGTCCAGCCCTACACTTTTTGATGCCGCCCTTTGCAAGCCATTGGCTATTCCACCTATCTGCTAATGTCAGTTCATAAATCATGCACTTCATTTGTTATATGCATTAAATGAAAGCAAAGAGGATCCTCAAAGTTCTATTGGTGGATCCATATAGGATGAAAAATCAACTTCTTTAAATACCGTTTACAGATTGTGAAATAATTTGAATAACTTTATTATTACTAAACCAAATTATATTTATATAATAATATCCTTTAAGTACTCCTTCCATGGCTATTGTTATTTTCGTTTTTTATATTTTAATTGCACATATAATAGTATATGTGTATCATGATTTAGGAAAAAGTGTAGTATCGAGAAGATTATTGCGGAGAAGGTTAGTTACGAGGCAAATGTGAGTGCATTTAATTTGTATTTATGTTATCAAACAAATATTGACTTACGATGAGCCAGTGACGGAGCTACTACAGTAAGAAGTGACTCCTAATGTTATGTGAATTGTGATTCAAGTCTGTACGTTCATTTGGTAAGCTAATAAAATTATGGAATAAGTTAAAGTTGTTAATCAAGGAAAGCTACCTAGAAATTATGATTTGAAAATTAATCCACCATAAATTATACAGAAATGATTAGGGATGATCTCTATACCGTTGGATTTGTATATCAGTCTAGTTTCGTTTAAAACAAATGGATACTGATTTCGAGATGTATATAAAAAGATATAAAATTTTAATATAGGATAGGTAAAAAAAAAGACAGTAGATTATGCTCAAAACAATTTCGGTGAGTAAGATTTGAAATTTTGCTATAAATTGTACCAATTTAACTAGGAGAAGTTCCTTATGTGGTTAGATTCGTATTTGAGTCTAGTTTCCAGTGATATAAACATAATAACTTTTAAGTATGTATAATAATACATAATAATACTTCTTTAAAGGTAGTGCAAACTGCTAGAGTATGAAATTTTGATAGACTTTGTAGTCAAAATAATCGAAAGCAAAAGATTAAACCTAAAGTTTAGTGAGGCTTATATTTTGATTTATAAGTAAAGTGTTAAAGTGAGTGCAACTTATTTATTTAATTATTATGATTGAGGATGACTTGCGATAAGTCAACCTCATTTATTTTTATGTATGATTTATAAATTTTATGGATGATTTCCATAATATTTTCAATAAGTTTTATGAATGATTTAGGGTATCAACTGTCCAATTACTATTTTTATGATGATGAATTTTAAAGGCTTATGATTTTCAAACGTTGATTAATTAATGATTCTGTTATGATAGATAAGCCCATTGTATGTTGCAGTGAGAGTCGTAGGTATATTTGGCATGCCATTAAGTTGAATACTTTCTAGTTATCAGTTAAGTTATGGTACATTCGTATACATAATGATCTGCACTGTTGGTGCTCATGTTATGATTGCACTTGAAGTGCATTATATGTTTCAGTTAAGATTGACATCGTGATGTGCCTAGTGTGCACCTTATATTCTACTCGCGTACCTTGTATTCTCTTACATATATATTAGGCTATACAAATAAATATGAAAGTTATGACATGATTATGAAAGAAAAGAATATGAAAATGAAATGAAGGTTCTGAAATATATATGAATGAAGGAATATGAATTATTATGATAATTGACGTTGATTTACATGATTTTTGATAAAATCATGAGATGATGATTTTCATGTTTTCAAGGGGAAATCAGCTTAAATAGCTCGGTTTGAAATTTTAATGTTTTTATTTAAATTATAGTTTTATGTTATAATACGTTGCGAAATTTATGTTTTATATCACTTTAGTTATGTTGTTGCCTCAATAAGTTTTACTTAGGGCGTGATGATTTTCATGCGTAGGTTCGAATATAAAAAAGGGCGTAAAGTGAGGAACTTTATGAGTATCTTTTGGAAGTCAAACCTACCTAGGGAATTAATAAGACATTCTATCTTTGATTTATTAGTGGCATGTATATTACACCTGATGATATGTTTTATAAAATTTATTTTAAAAGGGTCTCTAATAGTAAACTAGGATTATTTTTAGTTTTGGCTAATTTTATTTATAATCATATTTATGAATGAATAGTATAAACGTTATGTTTTAAATGATTTTTAAAATAAGTAGTATTTAGGCAACTTTATATAGTTATGAAACAACACGAAACTGCCCACTTGCTACATAAAATCATCATTGTTTTGGAACGAGAAATTATAATTTTATAAAAATTCATGCTAAATTAAATAAAATTTAAATTGTAAAAAAAGATGTTTTGAAACGAAACAAAATTTTAAGCATTTATGATCAAGGAATGTCTGAAAGGTTAATGCAACTTCTATAACTCGTACTTCGAGACATATACAGGTTATGAGTGTTACATTCATGCCCAAAACAGGACACTTCAGACCATCGGTATCGATACTATAAGAACAATATGGATATTGTTCTTCATAGGAGACAAAAACAAGGCAAAAATTGAGAGGAAATATTGATACTCCCTAAAGGAGTACTGATACTCGTGGTCTGATTTCGATTCTCAAAGGGTGGCATCGATACAGGTGGCAAGTTTAGGATTCCAATAACCAATTTTGGTACTGGTACTCATGGAAGTTTCGATACAAAGGGTAGAGTATCAAAACTCCCCATTAGAGTATCAATAGAGAGATATTTTTTGAAACATTGAAATCATTTTTGGTATCGGTACTCAAATTGAGTATTAATACCCAAGGGCCAGTATGATACTGTTTAGCACAATATCTATACAATCGCTGATTTTTTTGGCAATTTGGTTCCTTTCTTACGTGTTCGAGTGTGGGTGTTTAAGATCGAATAAGCCTCAAGTTTTCGATACAAGTGAAAACAATTAAGCTAACTTAAAACACACCTAGAAATCAAGCAAGTTAGAGAGACATAAGATTGGCCTTTGTATGATGTTCGGGAAACAGTCAGGACACCCGAGTTACTCTAGCTTTATGACAATCATCCTCTATTTGTGAAATATTGGATATTGTCTGATCAGGTATGCATCTGATACATGTAAAATTTCAGATCGTACCCATCACTCGAGAGCCTGTAATTGTTGGTTCAGGATGTGAGCTTCCGATG